TGTGAGGAAAGCTGAAGTACTTAATGCTTTCTTTGCCTCTGTCTTCACAGATAAGGTCAGCTTCCAGACTAAAGTGCTAAGTGATGCAATATGGGACCAAGTTGGACAGTTTCGGTGGGGAAAGAACAGGTTAGGAACTATTTAGAAAAGCTAAACATATATAAATCCATGGGTCCGGACTTAATGCATCTGAGGGTACTGAGGGAGTTGGCAAATGTCATTGTGGAGCCTTTGGCCATTATCTTTGAAAAGTTGTAGAGATTAGGAGAGATCCTGGATGACTGGAAAAAGGCAAATGTAGTGCCCATCTTTAAGAAAGGGAAGAAGGATAATCCAGGGAACTATAGGCAGGTTAGTCTTACCTCAGTCCCTGGAAAAATCATGGAGGGGATCCTCAAGGAATCCATTTTGAGGCACTTGGAAGAGGGGGAAGTGACCAGGAATAGTCAGCATGGATTCACGAAGGGCAAGTCGTGCCTGACCAATCTGATTAGTTTCTATGATGAGGTAATTGGCTCTGTGGCTATGGGGAAGTAGTGGATGTGATATACCTTGACTTTAGCAAGACTTTTGATGTGGTCTCTCACAATATTGTTGCCAGCAAGTTAAGGGAATGTGGATTGGATAAATGGATGGTAAGATGGCTAGACGCCGGGGCCAGCGGGTAGTGATCAACAGCTCGATGTCAGGATGGCGGTCGGTTTCTAGCAGAATGCCCCAAGATTCAGTTCTGGGACCTTTTTTTCAACATCTTTATTAATGACCTGGATGAGGGAATGGATTGCACCCTCAACAAGTTTGCAGATGACACTAAGCTAGGGGGAGAGGTAGATACATTGGAGGGCAGGGATAGAGTCCAGAGGGACTTAGAAAAATTGGAGGATTGGGCCACAAGAAATCTGATGAGGTTCAACAAGGACAAGTGTAGAGTCCACGAGGAGTAACGGTAGTTCGAATTAGGATCTTTAATTCGAACTACCTACTCCATGCCGCGTGGAGTAGGGGGATTTAAAAATGGCGGCGCCAGGGAACATTCAAATAAAGCCCAGGCTATTTAAATCCCGGGCTTCATTTGCAACTCCGCTTGCCCTCATTACTCTACCTAGCTCGAACTGATGAGCTAGTGTAGACGTACCCTAAAGTGCCACAGGACTACTTGTGGTTCTCATATATGACATTGTCTCTCGTCAAAGCTAAATCAAATGTGCAATAATTTGCAGCATTTTTTGCCTTTCAGCATCATCTTATGCAGGTTTCCTGCCAGAATGTTGAGTGGTGTAGGAACACAAGGCTTCCTCGTATGCTTTTTAGATATTGTGTAAAGCCCAGGATTGGCTTACAGACCTCTGAGATTGCTTATGAGTGGAATGAATTAAAGGAAACTCACAATTCTTATTCCATGCAGGTTGCTTATCTCCTCTCCAGCCAACCCACTTTATTTTGCTAGAGTTAGGCATAGTGCAAGCACCAATGATTGAAAGTCATTGTCATCAGCTGACTGTCCATTTACCTTGGTCTGTGACTGAATTGTTGGTTAATTGCATGACAGGCCAGGTTTAAGTCTCTGCTCTGAATGAGGTGAATCTGAATCAGTGTCTCCCACTACCCGAGTGCCCTAGCAATCAGGCCATAATCTCTCTCTGTGCCTTGAATATTTATTGATACACTGGTACAGCATCAATAGGAGAGACAGGGAGAGTGAAAGAAAGATGGACTCGGCAGCCCAGTGGCTAGAATGCTGACATGAGATGTTGGAAAATCAGCCAGAGGGAAAATTTCAAACTAGGTCTCCCACATCTTGCAGGAGTGCCCAAGCCACCATGTTAATGGCAGCACTGCAGTAGGCCTCTCTCTTTTTTACAAAAATATTTGAAAGATCCAGATTGCATTCTGACATGTGGCACAAATAAATGTCACAACCTTGAAAATCATCATTAAATGGAATTCATGTTTAGCAGTCAGACCTATTTGCTGGTTCCAAGTAACAAAGTGTACATCATCGCATCCTCTCTTGCTATCTGGGAGGCAGCACTACCTGTGGCAAACTAATATTCCCATGATCATTATAGACCAAAAAGCAAATGGGCATAAAGACATTTATGGGCATTGGGTAAATTGCCTAGAGGTGGTTCCCTCCAGCATAGGAATGCTGGACAGTGAAGTAAACGCCTGCCTTGCTGGACACAGCATGTGGATACAAAGGAGGGCGTAGACTGAATTGATTTTTAAATATTTGAAGAGGAAAGGCTGGCACTGTTCCTCATTTAACACACATTCATTGGTGCAGAACCCCATGGGGATCAGAGGGAGACTTGGAACTGGTGTAAATACCACTTGTCTGAAAGATACTGCATGATACAGACAGTGCATGTGACCCCATATCTGTACACTATTCGTGGAATAAATTGTCTTTATTAGATATAGCTCTTCTGGCAGAAAAATATTGTGTTCACCTGATGGGTGATAACATTCAGCATCTAAGCTCAAAACGAGTTAACATGATTTCCGATAAAAAATACTTCTTCTCATGTTCAGCCAGGGCTGTCATATAAAATGGAATATGCTCATCTCTGCTCTAGGGAACCTTCTGCTTTTGTGATATACATAAAGAATCACTTGCCATTAGCACTGGCAAGATATTGTTAATTTTTAATTCAATTGCATGCTTTAAACTCCACAGTTACTCTGGAGACAGTTCTGTGTCTTAAAGCAAGCTCACAGACAGAGAAAAAGAAATTGCTCCTTCAGACTTTGATATACTTTCTGAGCTTGTCTTCGTGGTTATTTAACATGTTTTTCTTTGCTGCTTGTTTGTTTAGGATGGAGTTTGTCAAGACCAAACTGGTGCTAAATTGCTTGGGCTTCATGAAACAGGATAGCATATATAATTTTGCTGTTAGCATATATAATTTTGCTGCCATGTGATTTATATAAATTGAGGTTAGTGAACTTGGATTTCTGCACTACACGGTCAATGTTATGGAAACTGCCAGATAATCACGTGTGTACAATTATTTTGGAGAGAGAGAGTGGACATTTTCTCCATAAAGATACTTTGCTCCTTTCAGTTTAGTATCATTCAGATTTCTCAAGTGTACTTCCTCACAAATTTTAAAGGTTAGGAAATCAGAAGTTAAGGCAACAATCACAGAGAACATAGTACTAACGTCCAAGCAGATGACTACTAACATCAAAACATTCCACTGCATACCGAGGCTAATATCTTCTCTAACACATTCAATTTCACTTCTATAGTACTGTTAGCCTGAGTGTATTAATCAAAACCACTACAATCCACAAACTTAATTCTGATCTTCCAATGTCCTGTATGTTATACACTATAACTGCTTTATCAACATTAGGATCATAGCATACCCCAATAAGAAAAGAATACAATGTGATTAGATACTCATACCTTATGAAAACATTAACAAACGTATACAATATATTTACTTTATAACATGAAAAGCAGATCAACAGTGCCACTAAACAAAACCATCCACAAATATGGTATCAAACAAAATGACAGGCAAACAGTTTGGAATTAAGGTAAGGCATTGTAGAATGATCTTTGAAAAATATTATACTGTGTTTGTCTGAAATAGTCTAAAGACTAATTATGGAGTAAAATTTAAAATCTTTAGAATTCTTTTTTTAATGAAGAGAAACCTGAAGAAATATCAGAAAAGAGGTTTGTAGTTCAAAAAGGGAGTCTTTTTAAAGTATCCAGGCAGTCCCCGAGTTACGCGGATCCGACTTATGTCGGATCCGCACTTACGAATGGGGCTTTCTCGCCCCGGAGCTCGCAGGCAGCGGGACCGCCCAGAGCGCAGCGGTCTCACCACCTCGACCTCCGGGGCGAGAAAAGCTGCTCCGGGTGCCCCTGGTCTGCTGGGGAC